ACAAAAAGCAAAAAGCACTCCCCACAAGTTCTCCCAGAAAGCCTCTTTTTTAAGAGGGAGTCTCAACCGGGCGCAGTGGCTCACGCCTGTTATTTCAGCACTTTGGCAGGCCGAGGTGGGCGGATCACGAGGTCAGGAGTTTGAGACCAGCCTAGCCAATATGGTGAAACCCCGTCTCTACTAAAAATACAAAAAAATTAGCCGAGCATGATGGTGCATGCCTGTAATCCCAGCTACTCGGGAGGCTGAGGCAGGAGAATCGCTTGAACCCGGTAGATGGAGGTTGCAGTGAGCTGAGATTCAGCCACTGTACTCCAGCCTAGGCAACAGAGTGAGACTGCATTTCCAAAAAAAAAGACAGAGTCTCGCTCTTTCACTAGGCTGGAATGCAGTGGCTCGATCTCGGCTTACTGCAACCTCCGCTACCCAGGTTCAAGCGATTCTCCTGCCTCAGCCTCCCGAGTAGCTGGGATTACAGGCATGCACCACCACGCCCGGCTAATTTTTTTATATTTTTAGTAGAGACGGGGTTTCACCATGCTGGCCAGGATGGTCTCGATCTCTTGACCTCATGATCCACCCGCCTCAGCCTCCCAAAGTGCTGGGATTACGGGTGTGAGCCACCTCGCCTGGTCAGCTTCCCTTTTTTTAAAAAAGAAAAAAAAAAAATATATATATATATATATATTATATATATTTAGTAATGGGTATATGCAAGAAAAAATATTTTAAAAATAAAGATATTCAGATTTCTTTTAGTTACGTTGAGACAGGGTCTCGCTTTGTTGCCCAGGCTGGTCTCAACTGCTGGGCTCAAGCCGTCAGCCCTCCTCAGTCTCCCAAAGTGCTGGGATTATAGGCATGAGCCACGGTGCCCAGATGCAGTAAGCATCTCTTGACAGCTAGAGCTGAGACTGCAACTTTTCCTCAGCTCATGTTTTTTTCCAGAAATTGCCTAAACCCAGAGATACTCTCTTGCCCACTATTTCTATAAAACATGAAAATGCTGATTATTGATTTACATAACAATATTCCCTCTCCATTCACCTACCTGAAGCTTTCTGTCCAGTCCCACACAGGTGGTTTTAGATGTGAACACCAGACCTGTTTAACCTGCTCTGTATCAGCACTTGAGACACACTGAGGCAAGCACAGACAGACATCTAACTAATGCTGTGGGTATAAATAACAAAAACCACAATCCTGCCCTTTGGAAAACATCTCCCTTCAATCTTCTTGCTCCCCTTCCACTCTTTATCAGGGGGAGAAATTAAACTAATTAGGGGCTGGGCATAGTGGCTCTTGTCTGTAATCCCAGCACTTTGGGAGGCTGAGGAGGGCAGATCACTTGAGGTCAGGAGTTCTAGATCAGCCTGGCCAACATGTTGAAACCCCGTCTGTACTAAAAATACAAAAATTCACCAGTGGCACACGCCTGTAGTTCCAGCTGCTGGGGAGGCTGAGGTGGGAGAATTGCTTGAACCCGGGAGGTGGAGGTTGCAGTGAGCTGAGATTGTGACACTGCACTACAGCCTGGGTGACAGAGCAAGACTCCATCTCAAAAACAAAATAAAACAAAATAAAATAAATTAAACCAGTTAGAAATCTTGTCTTTTCTCCACCCTCCTCCTAACCTGAGACTGCTTCCTTCTTGTAAACCTACAGGAATTTGAGGTGAGGTTGAAGAACATTAAAGTTACTCAAATAAAATAAGCCTAGTCACTCAAATTGATTATCCTCTTGATTCACATATATTTATGCTAGCTGCATATCATTTACATGTTGTTAACTTAGAATCAGAGTAGCAAAAATTGCCTGCAGGCCTTACACTTTTTTTTCCTCTCTCCTTCTCTCTCTCTTTTCTTCCTCCCCTAAAATGACACTTAGGATGAACCTCAAAGCAGATGCCAGAGCCTGGGAAAGTGAAAAAGCTTGAAGAAAAGCAGGCTGTCCAGTGCCAGAAAAGATCAGTGATGAAGTGGGGGGTTGGGCAGCTAGCTGGCTAGAGCGGTAAGCCAAAGGAACCCAGGAGTGGACACCCGAGGGTGTGGGGTCTCAGAGGAACTGGGCAGAGCTAAATGGGCTAAGTCTTAAGAGGCAGGAGCAGGAAATGTAATGGAGGGTTTCTTTTTCTTTTTTCTTTTTCTTTGAGATGGAGTCTTGCTCTGTCACTGGGCTATAGTGCAGTGGCGTGATCTCTGCTCACTCCAACCTCCCCCTCCCAGATTCAAGCGATTTTCCTGCCTCAGCCTCCCAAGTAGCTGGGACTACAGGCGTGTGCCACCATGCCCACCTAATTTTTGTATTTTTAGTAGAGATGGGGTTTCACCATGTTGGCCAGAATGGTCTCCATCTCTTGATCTGCCTGCCTCAGCCTCCCACAGTGCTGGGATTACAGGTGGGAGCCACCACGCCCAGCCTGTAATGGAGGATTTCCACTCTACAAGGTCCACTGCTGCTGGGGAGAGCATGCAGTATTTCAGTGTAGGAAAGAATGAGGGAGAGGATACTCAGGCAAATCAAAGTTTCATTCTTTTCCTCCTCTTCCTCAGCTCCTCAAGTCCTACAGTTTCTCTCCAGCTGGAATTATGGTAGTGGACGAGGAAGTTAAAATAGCCCTGGTTCCTCCCTAGTCAGCCGAAAGTTGGAAGAAGCATGTAAAACAGGCATGTAGCTTCAAAAAGACACTCCTCCTCTCCCTAGGAACAAATCCCTTTCTGTCCCCCTCCAATCTCCTTCTCAGTCTGACATACGTCTTCATGCAATCAATTGTTTAGATTTTCTTTCTTTCTTTCTTTCTTTTTTTTTTTCTGAGATGGAGTTTTGCTCTTATTGCCCAGTCTGGAGTGCAGTGACACAATCTCGGCTCACTGCAACCTCCGCCTTTAGGGTTCAAGTGATTCTCCTGCCTCAGCTTCCCAAGTAGCTGGGATTACAGGTGCCCACCACCATGCCCAGTTAATTTTTTGTATTTTTAGTAGAGATGGGGTTTCATCATGTTGGCCAGGCTGGTCTGGAACTCCTGACGTCAGATGATCCACCCGTCTCAGCCTCCCAAAATGCTGGGATTACAGGCATGAGCCACCACGCCCGGCAATAGTTTAGATTTTCATCTCAGAATATGTCAACCATCTCCACAGTGCCCTGTCTACTTGCTCACAAGGAGAGGGGGAGGGTTGCGTGATTTCATTAAAAGGAGGAGGACCACGAAGCATCCCCTTTACATCTCTCTCCTGCCTTAGCTCCTCTAAGCCATCCAGACCTGTCGACCGAAGGTGGAAGGACAGCAGGTGTCAACTCCCCAGAGCCGGAGAGGAAACGGAGAAGGGTGGGAGAAGAGGTGAAGAAGACGATTAAAATAAAGTTTTTACCTTAAAGAAGTGGGCGCTGTTCCAGGACTGAGAAGGAGAGTTCAGCTGTGGCAATGCGATGGGGGAGGTGGGTGCAGTGAGGGGGGCTGCCAGTGCCAATTGCCTTCCAGCTGTCAACGCCTGAGCTTATACAGGTTTACACAGCTTTATGAGCGGCGGTCCTGGCTGGGTTGTGGCTGCTTCCGGACTCACGCCCAGTACTGGGGGCACCGAAGGAGGGCGAAGGCAGGCAGGGGCGCAGCCCAGGTGCTCCAGGTCGCTCAGAGCGTCTTCAGGATTCCTGAGTCGCCGGGTCTAGGACACGCGCTCCAGGCCCTGACTACCAGCTGGTTTTCAAAGGAAGTTTGTGGTTTTTCTTTTATTCTCTCTCTTTCTTTTTTTTCTCATCGGGACGAAGAAAAATTAGTCAAGGACAAGCTCCCTGGAGGAGGAGGGCCCTGCCCAGCACTGGTGGATTTCCATCAGGGCTTTCTGACCCGGTCAGCAGCTTGGTGATCAGCGGAGAGGGAGAGAGAAACAGGAGAGAAAAACAACAGACCTTTTCTCTTCCCTCCGCCTGCCTCTGGAAGGGACGGAGCGCTTGTGCCTCTCTGGTGAGAACAGGGAAAAGCAAGTGCCCTTGCTGAGTGGGGAGGAGCAGGGCTGGACAGAAGCAGCTTGTTGGATCTGAGGTTTCTCTCTGGGTCTGGCAGTCCTTTGCTCCAGATCCACAGAAGCAGGACCAAAGAGCACGATATTTGCATATAATACTCAATGTTAATGACTAATGTTAAAAAAAAAAAAAAAGAGAGAACCCGGTTCTTTTCCCTCTGGAGCCCTCCAGAGGGCTCCTTTTCAAGTCCTTGCCGTATCTTTTTTAAGTCTGGAAATGAAACTGGTTGGGTTGTGCACCTGGTAGAGCGCAGAGGGTGTGGAAGAAGCCCCAGGCTATGGGAAGAGCGCACAGCAGGGAAAGAACTCGCAGAACAGGCAGGAGATCCAACACCCCCGTGCTCTGGATCTTGGTTCCACCGCAGGCCTCAGCTTCTCATCAGTCACCTCCCCTCAATTTACAGCTGGGGAAGCAAGAAAAGCTGGTGTGAGGTTGATGGTAGGAAAGATAGGGATAGATAAATAAACGCGGGAATATTTGACGGTGAGCTTCCATTTATTTGCAGTACCTGCGCTACCCCGCGGCTGGAAAGTAGCCGTTAAGCGGGGTTGGAACCTAACTCTGCATTCTGAAGGGTTCCCTAGACTCTATGTACAGGAGTGCCACAGGATGAAACTTCAAGCCTGAAACTCTGAAGGCTGAAAGAGCAGTTGGAACAATTAGGGAGGTAGGGAGCAAAAAGCAAAGGTTACAACCGACCAAGAAAGGAAGGAGAAGATATTTGACGAGACGGTAGAAAAATAAACCAGGCTACAGAGTTGTAAAGGAAGAAGCAGCAAGAGTTGGCAGGAGACTGCAGGTATTAAGTAAACAAGAGGGGTCAAAGATTATTCTAATGTTCTCCTAACATGAACAACCACAAAACTCGTGGCGATTGAGTCCGTTCGGTTAAGGAGAGAATTTCCAGAAAGAAGATGAATATCTGTTCTGCCAAGTGTCATTTAAAATGTCAACCAGAAAGATGTTATACGTAGCCCGATCTGAGAGGGAAAGTTCAGATGCCACAACAGTGGCTTACTGTGACACGTACACATTTGTTTGTCAAACGACTGATCCCTCAGAACTCTCCTTCCTTCTGTTGCTAGGGCCATTGCGGAGCTGCGAGACTACGTTTCCCACGACGACCCGCGCCACGCCCCCTTGGCCTCTCCGGAAAGACGTCCCAGGAGCCTCTGGGCGTAGAGCCCCGCCTCCGCCGCTGGGGGCGGGGCGACGCCGGGCTCGGGAGCGCCCGCTTACGCACTTCCTCCCGGGGGTCGGAGGCCGATTCGCCGTGTGGCGGGTTCGAGTCCCGCCTCCTGACTCTGGTCTCTGGCCCCTGAGTCCCGGGCGGGGTGCATTCGCCGGGGAACCTCTCCTCGATCTGGGGCGACGGCGTACTTTGGGCTTCATCATGGAGGACTACCTGCAGGGTTGTCGAGCTGCTCTGCAGGTAACCGATCCCTGTCTGTGACTGTAAGGAATGGAGCACGGGGTCCAGGAAGGACGAAGACTTGGGATCTGGGGGACCCTCGACGGTCCGTGTGGAGGGAACACTTATGTTGTGGGGAGGGGGGTTGGGGCCTGATCAGGTTTGGGGCATGAGGAGCGAGAAGCCAGCTTACGAGCGTGAGAATGCTGCTTGCTCCGTCTCCCGGTTTTTGGCTCCCCGCCTTGGGGGTCCGCCCGAGAGCGGGGAGAAGTCTTGGGTCTGAGTCCTGCATTTGAGACTCTGCTTGCTGTCGTCTTGGTCAGTTCCGTCAAAAGGACCAGGACTGTGTCCCCGCCAGCCGAGCCCCGCGAGGTGTGTTTATTCTTTTCTCCCCGCCCCCCTTTCAGTTCTCCGCTCCCAAGGCCTCGCTTGGCCCACTGGCCTCCAGGTGAACCTCGGGGGTGTGGAGGGAACTGGCGCTGACGGCTTTATTTCCTCTGAACGGCAGTTTCTGTCTGGCGGGCTGAACTCATTTCTAGGTTAGGAGTGGTCGTGGTATTTTACTTTGTGATATTGTGCCAGAATTGCTAGCCTTTGCTTACCGGTAATAACTAAAATAAGCAGCCCAGGATAACTAAGATCTGTGTGTAAACAAATGCTTATCTTGACTTCTGTAAACCACTGAAGTAACAAACAGAATGACAAAAGTCCCCTGGCCCTTGGAATGTCCGGAGACCCCCGCCCTCGTCTCTGCCCAGGAGGTGAAAACTTTAAGTCCGTGTTTTTAAGCCAAACATACAGAATCCATCAAGCATATTTCCTGACCCACAACCAGCATTCCCTTGCCTCCAGGTTTCTCCCTTGGCCTTAACGGGCACACAAATGACATACAAATTCTCCACCTGGAAGGGATAAGCACAAAGAGTGTTTGGAATCAAAACCATAAATATGACTACTGACTGCTTTGTGGCTTATTCGTGGTGGTCTCTGAGCCAGTTGGACTCACCCAGCCATGCTGAGCCGTCATGAGGCATTAGGCTGTTATCCCAGTTAGCAGCAAAAAGCTAACCAGAGAGAAGCTCCAGGAGGTCACCTGGCCCCTCTACTTTGAGTTATTCTGAAGAAACCTAGACAGATGGTTGGCTGAGCTTTCCTTTTTAGATATCTTAAACTCTACAAATTCTCCTGGGGGACAGATTCTGTTTGTTTATTTGTTTGAGACAAGAGTCTCACTCTGTCACTCAGGCTGGAGTGCAATGGCACAATCTTGGCTCACTGCAACCTCTGCTTCCTGAGTTCAAGTGATTCTCCTGCCTCAGCCCCTTGAGTAGCTGGGATTACAGGCATGTGCCACCCAGCCCGGCTAATTTTTGTATTTTTAGTAGAGGCGGAATTTCACCATGTTGTCCAGACTGGTCTTAAACTCCTGACCTCATAATCTGCCTGCCGTGACCTCCCAAAGTGCTGGGATTACAGGCGTGAGCCATCGTGCCTGGCCCAGATTCTGGTCCTAAACAAATCCTGAAAGTCAGTTAATTCCTGCTGCAGACACAGCTGCTGGAATAAAATGAATTGTCTTCATATTGAATTGGGGAGAAGGTCCATTTTAACACCAATTACATAGACATTTTCCTTGGGAAAACCAATTTGGGGAAAGTTATTTCAATGCATGAGGCCATTTGGAAGCAATCCCTTTTAGTTACCTCTGATTCCACCACAGGGCACTTATTGGAGGACTAATGTAGAGTTTTATGGCACTGTTCTAAGTGCTAAACACTTAGATTCTCACCCCAAGTAACCCAAATGACTGGTCTCTTTTCCACCATTTGGTAAAGAGCCCTTGGACCTGAAACCTCACCAAATGGTATTTCTTTGCATGCATCTACTCTGCAGCATGTATCCTTCAGAGCCTCTCCCACCCCTAGATTAATAGTGTATTCTCTATTTTTATTCTGTATTTGTTTGTTTATTTATTTTGAGCCAGGGTCTCACTCTGTTGCCCTGCCTGGAGTGCAGTAGTGTGATCACCCCCCAGGCTCAAGTGATCCTCCCACGTCAGCCTCCCATTAAAGCTTGGACTATAGGCATGTGCCACCATGCAGGGCTAATTTTTTGTATTTTTGTAGAGACATGGTCTTGCCATGTTGCCCAGTCTGGTCTCGAACTCCTGGACTCAAGCAATCCCTCTGACTTGGCTTCCCAGAGTGCTGGAATTACAGGTGTGAGCCACACTGTGCCCGGCCCTAATAGTATATTCTCTACAGCAATATGAAGCTGGAAAAATACTTGATTTTTCCAATATTGCTGGCATCTTAACTTTCCTCTCCCAAGGAGCAAGATCTAGATCTTCTTTTCAAACTTGTGAACTTGTAAAAGGTGAGATTGTGTTCTTAGAGCTTTCATCACCACATAGCCTCTCCAGGGCCCGGAGAAATGAGAAAAGTAGACTCTAGGAAAGTAAACAGATGAACTGATGGCAAGACATAGTGGTAGATGCCAACAATTTAGATTGCTTTA